AAATATGTCAAAAGAGGTTGTCTATAAATTGTCACGCAACTTTTGACGTTTTTGACCCTCTCCCCCTTTGTCACAAAATAATAACTCTTTAATAATGAATCCCATATGAGTTTTCACAAAACCACTAACCCCCTATCCCTAGATAAAGGGTTAGTGGTTTCGTGTAATATATGGTCATACATAATATATGGATGACTATAAACTCTGTTTTGGAAGCCATCTTTTAAATTTAAATGCAATAGAAGCCATTAAACTGCTAATGCTAATAGTAAAAAATTTATGTAAACTTAACTTTAAACAATTTAATGTTAGAGGAATTAAAAACTGATAAATAAATAATAAGAAAATAATAACGGAATACAAAACTAAAGGGTTACAATTCATAGAATATTAAAAAGAATTTGAACTGTTAACTGTAGAAATATTTAACTGTATTTTTTTAACAAGTGACTAAAAAACTTAAAATTAAGGCTAAAGGTTGAATTAAGGAACTTTATATCAAGAGGTTGTTTGTTCAACAAATTATTACTTTGATACCTAATGTATTTATTTCCATACTAGGTGTTGGAAAAAACTATTGAACAAAAGTTTTTGAAAAGGTTTAGTGTTGGAAAGTTTGATAATTGAAAAAGATTTTTTAGATTATAAATAACATTGTTGATTTTTTTAAGTGATTTGTTGACCAGTTGCAAATTTGTTCTAAACTTGCAAAATGGTTGCAAATTTAAAGTTTTTACCTCAATAATAAAAATAGGTTGATATTTTTAATCATTAATAAGAATAAGTTGATATTTAGAGAAATCTAGTAAAGAACATTTTTTATAAATTACTTTTTATACACGCTATATATTAGTATATATTCTTATAATAGATACTACTATATAATATACTACTATACAATAGATATATTCTTATAATAGATACTACTTTAATTTTTTTTTAGATAATATGCTATTTTTAGGAATGTTTTATCATAGTAGAAAGAGGCTTAAAGTTTTAACATTTTACTGCTCTAGATATACTCAAAAAGATTAAGATCCTATATGTCTTGTTTTAATTTAGTTTGTTGTTCAACACAACTATTTTCCATGTGTATTACCTACGCTTGTAAACTTGTTTCAACGTCTGTGAACTGTGAGTGCACACTAGTACACACATATCTCCCTAGCATTCCAGGGCTTGTGATTAAGTGAGCGCAATTGCGCTCAGCTCGTAAAACACGCCCGTAAACAGCATTTTCAAACATTCTAGGCGCGATAAACAATGCTTGTTCAGCTTATAACAAGCGTATAAAATAATGCTCGTCCAAGAGTTCGGGACAAAAAAATAATAACTTATTTTTTTATTTTCATAAAATATTAAAAGAAGAATTTTCAGTAAAGATATTATATTATCGAAGCACTGATATAAAATATAAAAAGCACTACATCATTCTCTTTTGCACAAATGTAATGAATGAGCAGTTTGACGTCGTTAAAAGTCACTAATTTCAATAGTGGACTGTGCACGTGGAAACACAATGCGAATATAAAAATGCGCAAATAAAATGAGAATAGAAAATTAGAAAACCGTTATAAGAAAATTGAAACTGCAAAATATTTTTAATCTTGTGAAAATATCAAGTAAGATTTATTTGATTTATTGTTTGTAATATTCCACACATCGTTTATAATAAAAATAAATATTATTAATAGAGTAATTTTTAAAATTAGTTTTTGTTCATAGTATATATATATTTTTTAACTATTATTTATTTTAACTCAAGTTCAAAACGATTCTGTTGTTTAGAATGTTCGCAATCAAGGACATTCCAAAAGGAAATAAAGTAATGATGTCAACATTTATTAAATGGAAAGTTGAAGAAGTAATAGGCTTTAGAACTAAAATTACCATTGGTTTATCGATGTGACAAACTTTGTGTCAATCCACACAATTCAAAGATATTTTGAAACAGCTTCTCACCTAACTGCAATAAGGTGTGAGAGTGAGAAACCCTCAAATGAGCGATGTGTTACGTCGACCGATGGAAAAAATAAATAATTAATAATTAATTTGAATTAAAAATGTCAAGAAATATAAAAACCATTAACCGTTAATTAAGTTTACAGTGTAACATTTTTAAATACATATATCAAAACAACGTAAGCAAAAAACTAAAATTATACTTCAATACTAAATCAATAAGAAGTTGCGTTTTTGTTTGATATTTTTTTTTTACCATAAAAAATTAAAAAAAAAATCGCGATCTGACGCAAACAATATGTAAGAAGTTTGGAAGTATAAAAATCTACTTTGTTGAAGTAGTTTCATAAGCGTGATACTAATTCAAACACTTGTTGATGAAAAAAATGATGTAACAAATAAAAAAAGATATAAAAAATAAAAAGCTTTTTATGAGCATTGTTTTGAGGAATTTTCATGATCATGTTCGCCAACGTTATCTTGAGCACACATAATCACGCTCGATTAAAACATATTCTAATTTTACGAGTGCGATATGACACGCTTAACGATTTTCTTTATCACAAGCCCTGGCATTCCGTGAAGTGAGTGTTGTTATAAGTAAATATTTATATTAATTTCATACATTTTATTATTAATATATTTAACTTCAAATATTATTTTAAAAATTTAACTAAATAATTATACAAATTTTTAATCAAAGGGAAATTTACAGATGCGGATTTTGAGAAAATATTAATGCAGAGTGATAGTGATGAAGAAATTTTTGATGAAGAATCGTCATAGGAAGACATCGAAAATGAAGTTGATGAAACAGCTAGTGGTTCTGATAATTCAAACGATGACTTGAAAGAATTTGAGCACAAGAAACGAAAACTTGTCAATTATGAGGATGAATGGACAACCACAGAATTCTTTATTCCTACAATTCAAACTTTCAACAATGTACATTCTGAGCCGACAAAGTGTATAAGGAGGCCATAATGATTGAAATTGCTAACCAAATTAACTTTTCTTTCTAATTTGTTAATGCTCAGAATTCAACAAATAAAAAATCTCGTCTCAAGCATTGGAAGGATATGAACTTCAAAGAATTTGTTTTTTTAGTATTAATCTTCTAATGTCATAGGTGAAAAAAAGGCCTTTAAATGATTTTTAATCCCAAGAGTGGCTTCAATTAACCCTTTCACTTGCACAAATAATATCAAGAGAAAGACATTTACTGCTCTTGCGGTTCATTTTACTGATAATACTTCATTGCCTATTTCTGCGGATTCTTTAATCAAAATCAGAACTACTGTTAACCATTTGAAAAATTCAGAAAATTTTTCAATCTATATCAAAATATTTGTAATGATGAAAGTCTTGTTGTTCAAAGGACGCTTGTTCTTCAAACAATACATACTGTCAATGCATCACCCATTTGTTCTAAAATTCTTTGTCATGTGTGATTTCAAAACGGGTTACATTATTGACTTCATCATTGACACATGAGGTACTACAGAAATTGTTTTTGACATCGCAATATACTATTAACACTTATAAATGGCTAATTAAATAAAAGTCATTTTATGTCGATAATTGGTATACTATTTTCCCATTCATTTGAAAATGAAACAAATGCATGTGGCACTGTAAGTGCAAATCAAAAGGGTAAGCCCATTCTAAACAAAAAATTGAAGGCAGGTAATATTGAAAACAAAGCATGCAAAAACCTATTGGTTATCAAATAGAACAAAAAGCAAGATGTTAGGATGTTATCTTCAATGGACACCAATGAATTAATGCATTCTAACAAAATTGATCAAAATTTCTGTGAAAATATCCGCAAGCCAGTCTCCATTATTGATTATAATAAAAACATGGGCTCTGTTGATAAAAACAATATAATACTAAGTTTCACTGAAACAGTGAGAAAGTCAATAAAATGGTGCAAGAAAGCATTTTTCCATTTATTTGATTTGATTTGTTTTAAATGCTCCAATACTCTATAATTAATCAACTGCAAACAAAGATCCAACAGATTCAGAAGAACCAGTAGGAGAATTTAAAATGAATTTGATAAAGCAATTACTGGGTGCATATCATACAACTCAACAAACACATTCCAACAGGTAGGCGTTCAGAAGATGCCAATTCTATATTACACTTATCAGCTAGACATTTTCCAATATTTCTACCTGCAACAGAATGGAAACGAGCCCAACCAACTATTGCATTGTATGCATAAAGCAACAAAAGCAAAAGGAATTTTGTTACATATGTGAATCCTGTAATGTTTATTCATACCTTGTACCATGGTTTGAAGTTTATCACACAAAAAAATTATTAATTATTTTTTTGTAAACAGTTCAATTAATTATATGTAAAAACATTTTATATAAATTGCATGTATTAAAACTAAAAAGTATAAAAAGTAAGATATTTTTGAATTTGTGTAATTAATATATTTTTTATTTAGAGTTAATAAAATTGATTGTTAACTGCTCTATTCTTACAAACTCACAGCATTTAAATGTGTCAAACTGCTCTACAAAAATGTACACACAACCATGAAAAATATGCGCACAGGGTGCACAACATCTTGTTGTGTCACACAACAGTGTGTTGAACATATATATCATCCTCGATCAATAAAGTAGAAATCAGCATTAGGCAAGTTTGGAAAATCACTCTAGGCACATTTTGATAATATGATTTCGTTGAGTAGTTTTTCAAGAAATAAATAAAAAAAATAAAATAATTCTTAAATGTAAATAAACAGAAACAGTGGCATAACCTATGATAATGTTTTTTATTTAGATTAAGCTGAGTAGGTATTTCATGTGATGATGGTTTAATATTTATAACTTCTTTTATGCCATTCCATTTACTTATAAAATATGTTATTTAGTATAATTTTATTACTACTTTCTAATAAGTAGATAACTTTTATCCTATAGCATTTAGATTTAAAAAGATTCACAATATATTTTGAGTTTCAAAAAAATTCTGAATATACATTAGAAAAATGACTTACAGTATTAAAAAAGACTTACAATATACATTAAAACTAGTATCTTTAGAAGCTTTACCCACAACATTACTAGCTTCACACTTTAACACTCCAGCATCATACTTTAATACATCATTTAAGTTTATTGTACTGCTCACTTTGACAAAGTTATTAGCTACACTATCAACTGTATTTACAATAGAGTGCTTTCCTTTTACTATTTCAACATTATCACGATACCATTTGATTGTTGGCTGTGGGTTACCTATTGCACTGCAAGTAAAAGAATTACTGCTACCTTCTTTTGCATAAAAGTTTTCTTGATCCAAAGTATTATATGATATGTACGGAATGTCTGTATAAAAATATAATAAAAAACAATATAAATATATAACAACAAAACTTTAGTGACACAATTTTAAAAATTATTAAAAAAATAAAAACAAAAAAAACAAAAAAAAAAAAAAAAAATAAATTTTTTTAGTGGTTTGCACAGAGAAAGAGTTACAGTAAAAAAATATCAGCTGAATAGAAAGTCACGCAAGAAATTCAGTGGAACAAAAGATGATTACTTAAGTATTTGAGGTAAATAGAAAGAAAAATCTTATGTCAATGTGACAGAGACTCAGGTTTAGTGAGTTTACTTTACTAGCATTCTGGGCTACTAAAATGGATCCAACTAAGTTGACAATTTCTTCATCTTTTTTAAAAGAGAAAGGGCATCATTAGAAGACTCAGCCCAAATATATTATAAAAGTATTCCAGATCAAGACAAATATATGATTTATCAAAATTGAATAAGAATGCAGAAAAAAAAAATAAGCACAAAAAAAAAATTACTATATGTGGTTTCCATGAATGGTCAGTAGTAAAAAACAACTTGGTTTTGTTAAGATTGAAATCAACAGTCACTGTAAGCCTCACATTTTCACAGAAAAGAGATCACATTAATAATCGGCTGCCATTTTTAGACAGACAAAAAATGATGACTTTTTTTCAATTACTTCTAAAATAAAATTTTAAAAATCATTGAATTTTGGGAATTTAAAACTCAATCAGAATTCTGTGGTATACGTCATGCCACTGGGCTATCTGCCTATATATAATATATTTATCATCAAATACAACTTCAATACTGCAACTAGTAAAGACCTTTCCTTAATCTTCTTTGTATTATTTTTTTTTAAATATGTCATATAAAAAAAGATTAAGAAAAAATTAAGCATGCTAGACTTCAATAGAATAACTCAATAAAAACTTTCAGTTACTATCGTTAACAAAGTGGCAGTAGATAATAGATATTTTTAAAATTTGAGAAGATTCATAATAAAACTAAAAAAAAAAAAAACTTTTAAAAACATTAAATCTGCATAAGTGTGATATAGTAACCAATAAATAAGCATTGAATATGATTTAAAAACTTTGGCATATAAAATTCGCCGAATGGTCACACACAAGCAGTGAACGCTTGAGGGAAGAAATGAAGTACATTAGAATAAAGGAGAATTATTTATTAGACAAAGCATATTTTGACAGTGTGATATTTTTATCTACGTAAGCATTAAATATGAAGTGTGATGTTTTTATCTAGGTAAGCATTGAATATAAAGTGTGATATTTTTATCTAGGTAAGCATTGAATATGAAGTGTGATATTTTTATCTAGGTAAGCATTGAATATAAAGTGTGATATTTTTATCTAAGTAGGCATTGAATATGAAGTGCAATATTAAAACCAACATTAAATATAAACTATAAAATTATAACTTACATTGAACATTAAGTGTGATATTGTATGAAGCTTGTCCATAAGTATTTTTTGCATAACAAATATAGTTTCCAAAATTTGCTCTTGTGGTAGGCCTTATATTTACTACACTCGTAATTTGAAACAAAGTTTCATTTTGTGATTTTGTAAATGTGTTAATGTCTAAGGTGTTGTTACTATTGCTATCTGTAGTCCATGTTACATCAGGAGAAGGTTTCCCACAAGCGTTACAAATTAAGCTCACAGGATCTCCTTCATTAACTGTAATGCTACTATCCGTTCCATCAAATATATAAGCTTTTACTAAAAGTTAATGAAAATATATAATCTTTTACTAATATTTTTTTAGTAAGTAGTTATATATAAAAGTCAAATTTTTCAACAATTAAAATAGTTAAAATTAAAAAAAAAAAATTAAAGCTAGAAAAATTATTAGTTCAAGACATAAATTTTACATAATTAAGACATAACTTACAATTAAAAAAAATATAGCATATGAAAATTTTAAATTAAAAAATATGGTGTATAATTTTTAAATAAAATAATTTAACAAATTTACAAAAAAAAAATAAACAAAGTATATTTACTTTCATTTTTGTTATTAATGGTTTTGCAACAAGAAATACTAAGTTACAGTAATATCAACTTAAATTTCTCAGCAATTATATAAATAAGCAAACTAATTGAATAATTTCATTATGCAAATTGCTTTATAAAAAATAAACAAATAAAAAACATTTAACAAAAGTGTTTCAACACATCAGCTTTACAAGATATATAAAAAAAGTTTTTTAATATCTTGAATCTTCTACTAAAAAATATCAATATTCTTGATTTTACATTTTCCAAAAAAATAAATGAAATAGCTTATTTATGTAAATGCTATACCAATTTCTTTTTTTTTTTTTTTGAGAAAAAAAAACAAACCATAAACCATTTTTTGTAAATAATTCTAAATGATGCTTTCAAGTTATATTTAAAATATAAAAACAAATGTGTCTAAATATTTATTTATTGTAACATTTCATACTATCACCATGATCGGTTGAAATTTGCATGATTTTAAATTGCGTTTTCTCAAAAACCACTTAATCAATTGTTATGATTTTTTTTTTATAATGATGCTAACATAATTAGTTTTCTTGTGTGTGAGTGTAGTTTTACTTACTCCTCTTTAGGTTTTGCAATATTGAGTACAGACTCAGAAAATCGAAAAAAAAAGTTTGAAATTTTACAAAGAAAATCCATTGTTCTCATGTTCCATGATTTCAAAAGCATGTAATGTTCTAAAATCAACTATTGGTTTTACTATAAAATGTTATAAGGAAAACCAAACTGTTAAATAAAATTGGGAATCAACTATTGGTTTTACTATAAAATGTTATAAGAAAAACAAAAATGTTAAATAAAATTGGGAAGTGGTGGAAAATCATATATATATATATATATATATATATATATATATATATATATATATATATATATATATATATATATATATATATATATATATATATATATATATATATATATATATATATATATATATATATATATATATATATATATATATATATATATATATATATATATATATATATATATGGTATAAACTAGCACTGAAACAAATATGATGCTTTGTGTATGTCTAACAATATGAAATTTCATTAAATAAAAAAATAAATAAAACTTAATAGAGCATAAAGGCATCACATGATATGATATTGCAAATATGCTTTATTTAACCTGGAGTTTACTTTATACTTATAATATTTGGAGTTAACTTATCTTAATACTTAAATTATAACTTATTTTTAATTGTAATTTAAGAATCTTATTTTTATATTTAATAAATATCTTATGTTTATATAATTATAACATATTATAAATATCTTATGTTTTTTTTATTTTATAATTTATACACTTGTACTTTATACGTTTGGATGGTTGAAGAATAACATCATCAATACAAACTTTAAGAGCAAATTCTTTAGAAGGTTCTGCATCTTTGGGAAAAGACTAATTATCGGCTGTTTTGTTTCTAATGCAATTGTGAAGCCTAAAGATAACAGAGTATGCAATGGCAGGCAACATTTTTTTATTTAGTGCTTTCTTAATACGAATTTACCTTTCATTTGTTGCAATACCTGCTTTACCATTGAACCCTTGTTGATTTGGTAGAACTTTTAATAAATATTCTCACAAATTGTCAAACTTTCTCCATTACCTTCACTAATATGTCTTGAATGCTTACCCAATGAGTAGAGACATGTCTCAACATCCGTTGACCTTAAAGCTCAGTGAATGATTCCACAGCAAAATAATCTGTAATTCTTTGCAAAAAATTTAAAAAAACTGTGCAAATCATTTGCTTATTGGTCCAAATCAATATCCTTAGAAATCAACGATTTCAAACCTTATAATAAAGAATTGGAAACTGAATGGAGTGGACATTGATTGGACATCCAACATTGATAATGAATTTTTCTTTTTTTCAAAATCATTTTCTAATTTTTTTAAGAACAATTTATTGACATTGGAACCGTTCATACTAATGGAGATAATAGACTCTGGTTGCCGCTGAATTTTCCCTAACAACTTTTTAAAATCAGTACACCTTTCAAAAAACAATGCCCCCAAGAATTTAAAATGGTACGTGGCATAAGTGTCATATTGTTTTTTTGTTTGTAGCTGTTTCATAAAATCCAAATGTGAGTGGCAAACATTTCAACTCATTCCAAATAATTTTTTCAAATATATTTAAGTTTATCAGATTTTTGTTGATATGCTTTAGCAATTTCAGAAACCGGAAACATACATTTATACTTAGCATTGTCACCATCAGCTGGGAAAATGCAGTTTGAATCAATTATATCAAAGCAACAAACAATTTCAGGCGTAACTACATGATCTTCGGTTCTTAGTATTGTGTTTTTTGTAGGTAGCTTTAGAGCTAAACCATCTGAACAAATTTAAACTTTGACCTAGCTGATTTGGCATTTTTATGTTTCTTTGAATTCAAATGTAGATTAATCTGGATTACACCAGCTGAAATGCTTATGTCCACAGAACAAAATCTACAGAAGCCATGGTTAACAGACTTATTTGAAGCTTTTATCCATGGATAGCTCTTTTCCCAGGATAATTGGTATTAAGTCTTTCCCATACAGAAATACTTACTTTAAAAAAATTAATTATTATAACTAAAAAAAAACTTAATAAATTACACTCCTGGCGGCCTAAAAAGTTTAAATTAGTATAACATAGTCTAGAAATTCATTGTAAAGTTTTATCATTGCAGTTGAAACTTTTATATGGAAAGGACTTTCCCATTAGAATTCTGTAAAATTGGTTTCATATAGGGAAGAAAAGGCTTAGCTCTGATTTAAAAATCTAAACCACCTAAACTTTAAAAATTGCAGTATGAGGTTTGGATGGTAATCTTTCTAGTTATCACATAAAACCCCCTCAGATCAGCAAAACAGGATAACACCATATAAAAAAAAAATTGTTCTTTACAATAATTTAATTCATGAATTCAATAACACAAATGAAAACTTCATTTAAAAATAAACTTTCATAATTATTACTATAATTTAACTATTTATTTACAAAATAAATAAAAGTTATTCAAAAATTCAATTTATAACATTTACATGGTTTAACATTCTATTTCGAAAAAAATATATGTTAAAACTTTGTTAGTAAATAGCAAATATTATACCTAAAACAAAATTAGTAAATTTTGTTTAAAAATTGATATATTTTAAATCCATAAAATATATCATTTTATATATAAACATGGTCAGATATAAAAAAAAACAACAACAGGCTATTGCCTTAAAAACAGGAAAAAAATAGGAAAACAGGCCAAAATGGAAAAAACAGGAAAAAAACAGGAAAACAGGCTCTGTAGGAACCCTGAAATTTATACAATATTTTCTTCAGTATTATGTAAATTTGAAATAAAAAGGTAAATTTAACTTGAAAACTGAAAGTGGATTATACCTAACGAAAGGTGTCTTCTTTATTCCCTAATTTTTACAGTCGATATATTGTCTTGAAAAAATGAAATTTTACAATCTATTGAAAAAATGAAACTTTACAATGAAATTTTACAATCAACATTCAGCACAACCGATATTGTGACATTTCAAAGCCATATTAAGAGTTTTTTTTTTGTTTGGTTCTTGAATATTTTTTGTGCTTAAAAGCAAATCTGTATCTTTCAATAGCTTAGCTTCAATTGCAGTTTTGTTAATGGTTAGATTCACCAACACGCAACTGTTAAAGTTAGGAAGGGCTATTCTTCTGTTAACTCGCAAAGACTTATTAATGTTAACCCAGCTAAAATCATTAATTAAAAATGATGGTGCTAATCCAACACATATCTTCCATGCTTGAACTCTTATAGCCATTTCATACTCTTAATCTAACGTTATCAGATTTCATTTTTTTTAGGATTGGTCTTGTGTGTACCTTGTTGGGAACAATAATCCGTAGAGCTTTTTTTGTAAACAATTGATTTGCATAAATTTTTTTTATTTATTGTTTCCCCAAATTTCAACACCATACATTAAATGGCTTCTAATTAAAGCATTGTATGAAACAACATTAGATTTACTAGGCAATAGTTTATTGAATTTTCTAAGTAGGTAGATGCCTTGACTAATCTTTTTGATGTTTGTACTATATGGTAATGTTATTTCATTTTGTTGTCCGAAAGAATACTAAGAATGCTAAAATTTTTTCTTATAATTTTCTCCACACAAATATTTAATATATAAAAATGTTTAATGTGTAAAAATATATATTAAAATTAATGTAGTATAAAATTAATGGATTAATTTAGTATTTATAAATATTATTTTATTTTTTATTATTAATTACTTATGTTTTTTTCAGTTTTATTTTCATCATCATAATGCTGTTGAAATTACCTTAGTATTCAAAGAAACTAACAGATTATCAACTTCTACACCAGACCACCAGACCATTATTTTCGGCCCAAATATCATTGTTTTTGTTTTTTCAAGATGAAGTGATAGTCTAGTTGCTAAAAACCTTTTTTTTTTTTTTTTTTCTAATTCCCTGCAACATATTTCCTGTAAATGTTCAATAGAGTCAGCCTTTGTAATCATTGTAGTATCATCAGCAAAAAAGATAGTTTCTAATTCTGTTGCAACTGGTAGGTCATAAATATAAATTTTGAATAGTAATGGACCCATACATGTTCCTCAACCAATACCCAACTTTACTACTCTTTCTTTTGATGTAGAACTTCCAATAACAACTGACTGCCT